TATTCATTGTGGTAAACGAAATAATAATTTGATCTAAGTAAGAGTTTTTTTGTATTCCCGATCTGTAAAAAGTCTTTACGTGGTGAAAAATATTAATATTATCTTCGAAATCTTATATATTATAAAAACTGTCGTTCGAAAAAAAAAATTTTCCACGAATGTGCTTTACGTGTGTCTGCTACATTTCTTTCTTAATTCACTCACTTCCACGTCATAGAAAACAGTTTTTAATAACTATTTACATATAACGAGAGAGCACTGGTATCAGTAACATAATACAGGCCTTGCTGTGTTATGTTACACAAAATTTGTTGTGGCAGTTCCGTATAAAGAGTCACTACCAATAACTCAAGGGTAAAAAATAAACGGTACATGTAAAGTCATCATAAATACGACACTTTTTATTTTAGTCATGCACTGTGTGGGAGGTTATGGCTAATGTTTCATCTGTACAAAGTCAAAAATAGTCGCTATTATTACACTTTCTTTATTGTAAAACTGCTCTCCTTGGTACTTGGATTGTGCTACTTCACACAAGTAGTCGAGCAGATTCTTGTCATACTTTTTTTAAGGTGTGACATTCTGAGTCAGTCGTGATACTACACTTATACGTCGTTGTGATACTATACTTACACGTCGTTGTGATACTACACTTATACGTTGTTGTGATACTATACTTACACGTCATTGTGATACTACACTTATACGTCGTTGTGATACTATACTTACACGTCGTTGTGATACTACACTTATACGTCGTTGTGATACTATACTTACACGTCATTGTGATACTACACTTATACGTCGTTGTGATACTATACTTACACGTCATTGTGATACTACACTTATACGTCGTTGTGATACTACATTTATACGTCGTTGTTATAGTAAACTTATACGTCGTTGTGCTAGTACACTTATACGTCGTCGTGATAGTACACTTATACGTCGTTGTGATAGTACACTTATACGTCGCTGTGATACTACACTTATACATCGTCGTGATAATACACTTATACGTCGTCGTGATACTACACTTATACGTTGTCTTGATAATACACTTATACGTCGTAGTGATAGTACACTTATATGTCGTTGTGATAGTACACTTATACGTCGTTGTGATAGTACACTTATACGTCGTTGTGATAATACACTTATACGTCGTAGTGATAATACACTTATATGTCGTTGTGATAGTACACTTATATGTCATTGTGATAGTACACTTATACGTCGTTGTGATAGTACACTTATACGTTGTTGTGATAATACACTTATACGTCGTTGTGATAATACACTTATACGTCTTTGTGATAGTACACTTATACGTCGTTGTGATAGTACACTTATACGTCGTTGTGATAATACACTTATACGTCGTTGTGATAATACACTTATACGTCTTTGTGATAATACACTTATACGTTGTTGTGATAGTACACTTATACGTCGTTGTGATAATACACTTATACGTCGTTGTGATAACAATACACTTATACGTCTTTGTGATATTACACTTATACGTCGTTGTGATAACAATACACTTATACGTCGAACTATGTGGGTTTTATATAAAAAATGTATAATATTAATGTACATAGTTTGATTAATATTACGAAACTTATTGAATTGAACGTTTCTTTCATTTAATGTATGTGACGTGCCTCAATACAGTGAATTGCATGAATTCTATTTTTTCTGCTCCAAGAATGAAAATATTTAAGTACTAATCACAAACTTCAGCTAGGTAATTACTTTATTCAGAAAGAGGAGTATTACTACGTAAAAAAGGAAAAAATACAATCGGAAAATTTCCTTATTTCGCACAGAGTATTATTTTCTTTCTTTCTATAATTCTGTAACCTTTACGCAATGGCCAAAAATTAAATACATAATGTTTAAATTTTTTTTTCATTTATTTCTCTAATTTTCTTCATAATATGGAAAAATAATATGGTACAAAATTGTTTAAATTGGATTATTGTATCACAACTTTTTAATAGTGTAAGAATTAAGATTTAAATGCACCAAAGAAAGACAATAAAACAATGATACATTTTCAATTTTAATTTAACGATGCAGAAATTGTCACAAAAGTAACTGAATAAGATAAGCATGGAGTTAGTGCACGTTAACAAAACTGGAATGGAAACAACGTTCCCACTATATAATATAATTTGCCTTAAGTGTACCAATAATAATCTCTACATCAAACGCCATCCTTACGTTTCCTCTAAAGTGTCTCGGCAAGTTGTTGATGTTGTAGCGTTTTGCTTTTCCTTCGTTTCTAGTTATTTACATAAAACTTTACATTATAGCACTTTTAAAATTACTTTTATTATGAAAAATGATTAATAGCTACATAATGACCCGTTTTTTAAAACAATTTACTTAATTAAAGTTAAAACATTAAATGGCGAAATACGCTCTAAAACATACTAAGTTAATTGTATATAGCATGCAATAAAAAGGTTCTGGACAGTTCAATGAAAGAAGTTACGTTGTACAAACTACTGATGGAACTGTGTTACAGATCAGCGTTTACGTTTCTGACTTTTTGCTTTTATAGCCTTATTAAATTTTATTGCTACCTATCCATATAAAACGAAATTGGAGATTTAACTAAATCAGTAACTATAAAGAAATTGTTAATGAATACAGCTATATTAAATTCAAATATTGATGCGTCGAGTAAATCATTAAGTTCTGTATCAAAAGTATGCTATTTACTACGTTTGTTTTTATCATTATTTACCTACCTGTAGCAGAGTGAAGCCACAGTTTAGTTGTGGTGTTTTCCCAGTCAGAGTTTCTAGAATGTGTGTACGTGATTGGAATTTTCCAGAGAGGTTCACTGAAAAGTTAAAAATAATTTATTAAGCTAGTTTATTTTATTTTTCTAATGACATTCTTGAATTTCCTTTATTTAAAATATATTCAATGAACCGAAGAGTACTGTTGGATGCAACCCTGCGTGTCGTATAAAATATGTATCAAAGCACACTGAATTTTTGCGTTTAAATTCGTATTTATATCGTTGCTTCAAGTTTTATATCTAGAACTTAGAAAATGTGTTTCGCCAAAAGAGTGTTAACACCAACTGATGAGAGCGTGGCTTAACAACTGGAATTTTTTTTAAGCATAAGAAATTTTTTGAATAATATAAAACGCATGCTTGACGAGGGAAAAATCATTGAGATTGTAGACTGACTATTAAGTCAACCAATTAGTTCTTCAGCACTGTAAATTTTGATTAGTAACTTGTGAAATTAGGTCTATTGTTAGTTACGTGGAAATTAGATAAAACTTAGATTGTAGTCAGAGAAATAAAACGCTTTCTTTATCTTTAAATGGAATGGACTTTGCACTTTTCTCTTATAACGAATAATCCAGAAAAAACTCACCTATCAATAGAAATCGTCACAATAGCTTTTCAAAACTGTTTTACTTTCTCTACTAGGCCCGACATGGCGAGGTGGTTAGGGCGCTCGACTTGCAATCTGTGGGTCGCGGGTTCGAATCCCCGTCACACCAAACATGCTCGCCCTTTCAGTCGTGGGACGTTATAATGTGACGGTCAATCCCACTATTCGTTGGTAAAAGAGTAGCCCAAGAGTTGGCGGTGGGTGGTGATGACTAGCTGTCCTCCCTCTAGTCTTACACTGCTAAATTAGGGACGGCTAGCGCAGATAGCGCTCGTGTAGCTTTGCGCGAAATCCATAACAAACAAACTTTCTCTACATACTACATCATATTTAAATTTTGCTTTATTTAAGCATCCTTGGAATGTCTAATCATTAACAGAATATTATAATAAGTAACGCTTAATAAAATAATGCGTTTTTTTAAAAGCCTTTTCTGATTCTGTCAAAGTTAACATTAGATCTATGTTTTCAATTCAATGAATATTAAACACAATCCAATATGTTTAGAAGTAACATGCAATTCTTATTCAAATTTCACTTCAAAATCTGTTGTTTTTATTTTGTTTGTTCTTAAGCACAAAATTACACAGTGGGCTATCTGTGCTGTGCCCACAACGGGTATCGAAAAGCTCTTTTTAGCCATGTAAGTCTTAAGACTTGCCGCTGTGTCACTGTGGGGGGGGGGGCAAATCTGATGCAATAAATATACTAGAAACTACCAGAAAAAAAAAAACCATAAACATTATAGATAATTTCTTAATTTTCGAAATTCTCTCAAATTTGGGTGTAATAAACAAATAGTAAATAATTAAAAATGTATAGCTTATTCTCAGTATCATTTCCATGTTTTTGGTTTAGTATAATTCTGTTTAAAACTAACTAACAATTATCCTTAGTTAGGATATTCATACTTTTAGTGTAGTATAACCCTGTTTAAAACTAACTATCAATTATTCATAGTTAGGATATTCATATTTTCAATGTAGTATAACTCTGTCTACAACTAACTACCCTTAGTTAGGTCTCACTTATTCATATTTTTGTGCTGAATAACTCTGTTTAAAACTAACTATAAATTATCCATGGTTAGGATATAAATATTTTTAGTGCATTATAACTCAGTTTAAAACTAACTATCAATTATCCTTAGTTAGGTCTCGCTTATTCATATTTTTGTGCATTTGCACGATTAAAAACGCTGTAATGTAAACTAGAAACATATTCCTCTAATACAAGTTAAAATTACATTATCAAATTATCTACTTCTCAAGCGTGAAAACAAGCCTGTCAATACAGAATAATTGGTTTGACTTTTTTTATACATAATACCACAAAATTATTAATTGAGAAATGAAAAGATGAATCTCGAATATGATTGGTTTGTTTTTGAATTTCGCGCAAAGCTACACCAGGACTATCTGCGCTAGCCGTCCCTAATTTAGCAGTGTAAGACTAGAGGGAAGGCAGCTAGTCATCACCACCCACCGCCAACTCGTGGGCTACTCTTTTACCAACGAATAGTGGGATTGGCCGTCACATTATAACGCTCCCACGACTAAAAGGGCGAGTATGTTTAGTGTGACGGGGATTTGAACCCGCAGATTGCGAATCGAGTTTCGTAGCCACCTGGCCATGCCGGGCCTTTAAGGGGTAGAAAAAAAACTAATATCCAAGTTGCACATACAGTGTTTTCATCACGTGCTGACCAAGCTTATTCATGGGACACATAACGTCCTTGAATAAAAGTATGTATAATACGATTTGTGGTACGTGCTTACACAGCACTTTTATCAAAGTTCTGGAGTATGAATTTCATTTATCGCCAGTAAAAGACGACAATGACGTCAAACTATTTTACGAATGCAATGAATGGAACATTCGATATATTATATTTTCTATATATAAAAAAGTAGGTTTTCAAGCCGATAATAAGATGTAACATTCAGAAGATAATTTTTAAAATAAGTCTAGTGATACTTCACCTAAGTTTCAAACTAGACGCTCTGTACCAGAGCGAATTTACTGGCTAGATTTATTTGCAACACACAGAACTAATTATTTACTTATTACTACTGTAGTAATAGTTCAGCTAACTATGTGTACAACAAGCGAGAGATTGTGTTAGTACAAAGCTAAATAATTGGCAACGTGCGCCGTGTCCATTGCTAGTGTTTTCAACCCCAATTTATAGGGTCATAAGGCTTCAGGTTCGCCGCTATGACATTGGGTGACGAAAACTGAGAGAGAACTGTTAATATGTTCTTTATTAAGCAAAAAAAAAAAAAAACTGGTGTAATTTTGGAACGTTTCATGGATTCTTTTTTTGTTATGGGACAGAAGTTTAAAGTCGAATACAATACTATCGAATGTGTTAATCTGCAAGACCAGTACGTCCAGTACTATAAATAACAGCTAATACGGTAAAACATATGTTATTATTTCATAGCTTTTTTTTCTTATTTAGCCGTAAAATATTATTACTTATAAACATTTATATTTTCTATAAATATTCATTACACGCAACAGCAGTCCTAGAAGCAACAATATTCACAAACGTAAAGGCGTAAAATCTGATAATATTAAAAAAGAAAGAGTTGTTTCACACTAAAGGAACGCCCTATGCAGTGAACATAGAAATAACAAAAGGTGAAGAAACGAGTGTAAAAATTACAGCAACCATTAAATCCTGAACCTTGACAAGATTTTGCATATTTTCAATCAATATTACAGCTCCTCTTAATAAATAAAATGCGTCTTTAACTTTGAGAAACAGTTTAAGTCTGTAGGTTGTTGCATGCGAAACCCGTACCAAGTAATTCTGTTTCTTTAGTGTTTTCTGCAATCATCCGCCTACTCTACCTATTCTGTACAGCAACTAAAGTCCTTTACTACCACCTACTCTTCATATTTGCTGCATTAATAACACATTATGCCCGTGCTTTCCTGCTCTCATTGTTTACTTCGTGAAAGAGCTTTCACGTCAAGGGACCTCCTACACAAGTATACGTTCTTTTATTTCACAGGAGGACATGAAAGGTGAATGGACTATCAGCTACATTCTCTCATAGAAAATCGCCCCAGGAACAGTTAACGAAAGGCCAAAAAGTAATGTTTACTGAATGTTTTACTGTGAAAGAAAACGTCAAAGCTACGATTTTTACTCAGAGGTGTAGCATACAAATAAGTTAAGGAAGCACAATAAGGAGACCATCTGTGGGGGGGGGGGGGGAGTCAAAGAAGCACAAGAAGAAGACCATCTGTTGGGGGGGGTCAAGGAAGCACAAGAAGAAGACCATCTGTTGAGGGGGTTTAAGGAAACACAAGAAGAAGACCATCTGTTGAGGGGGGTTAAGGAAACACAAGAAGAAGACCATCTGTTGGGGGGGTCAAGGAAGCACAAGGGGAAGACCATCTGTTGGGGGAGAGAAATTGACGAACTAACTGAGCGAGATTAATGTACATGATTGCTGTACTCGAGTAGTAGTACTTATTCTAATTCTATATTTTCTGAAATTTTTTTAACTCTCGCAGTCAGGTAGACAAATAAGTAGACCGATAGATGAGAAGTCTTAAAAGATTTTATGAACACTTTTTTGTTTGAACATTAGCCACAATTCATTGTAAGTGGATGACTCAGCTTTTCAGTACATAAACTAGATTTGGCTATTGATTCATGTAACATAGAAAAACTAAAAGCTTCGAGCAAGGCGTTGCCCAATCAATAGCGTAATAGGACCGTGAATCGAAAAATTCATGGTTGGTGCCAAAATATGCTCTGAACTATGGGACCAGGGTTGCACAATAAGAGTGACTGTCAAGTCCTACTATTCAGTCAAACAAGAGATTTCGGTGGGTGCTATTGACTAATAGCTCTAAATTATGGACCTGTTATGCCTACTATTTGTGTAGATTTTCGTGAAAATTAAAAAAATAAAATGATGCCCTCATATTTGACTCATTTGAGTTTTAACAAAAGCTAAACACCAAAATGTACTTTCGCTGCTATAAAATTCTTTACAAAGAAGTAAAATTGCGCATTAAACACTCACCTGCTGACATTTCGAGCTTCTTCCTTTTCAAGCAAAAAACGGTTTTGAGTAACTTTCGCAGTGCCGGTTTCATAGTCACGTGACACTGTAACAACTGGGTATCCGGTTTGAAGTGTCCACGAATCCATGACCTCTTTTACATTAATCCTATCTTCTTCTCTTGCCACTTCTTGGACCTTTGGAAAAAAAAAAAGAGTTAGTTTTACTGCGGTATCTCTACTGGAAAACTAAAATTCTGAAAATTAAATCTGACCCTAACATTAGTGAAAAAAACAACACAATAAACGAAACAAACTGTCAGAAGTCTGATATCAGAGGGACCGGTATGGCCAGGTGGTTAAGGCGCGCTCGACTCGCAATCTGAGAGCCGCGGTTCGAATCCCCGTCCCACCAAACATGCTTGCTCTTTCAGCCGTGGGAGCATTATAACGTGACGATCAATGCATTATTCGTTGGTAAAAAAAGTAGCCCAAGAGTTGACGGTGAGTGGCGATGACTAGCTGCCTTCCCTGTAGTCTTTCACT